ATGGCGGTGAAACGAGGCCGACAGAGGGGTGCACTGTCGTGGCCCACGCCCACTTCTCTGTGCTCTTTATACGTGTAGAGCGAATTATATAAGCAAGTAAGCAAGTAAGTAGCAATGTATACGTAATTACAAAAATTTGATACCATAGGTAAAGATGGAACACGTGATATAGAACGTAACGAAAAGGCACTCTATTGGAGAGTAACGGTACAATGGTCAATGGTCGAGAGTATATCTGACAAGTTCGTTAAGCGTTCAAAAAGTAGAGGAAACTGAGGAACTTGCGCATGCATCGATCACGCGCTTTGCCACTAAAATTTCATGAAGTAGAACGGCCCAGTCCTTGCCAGCACTGTGCATACCGTGTTCGCCAAAACTTAAGATATTCGAGTTAAAATTTATTTACAGTCGTAAGAGTTGCTTTTTCAGAGAACGGGAGTAGGAGCGTGCAGTAACGCGGTTGGGTGCAGGCCACGCCCACAGTGCGGCGTAGTGGGAGGCGCTGGAGCGGGCACGGAGTGGTGGAAACGAGAGGCGAGGTAATCTACGAAGAAACAATAAAGCGACTGGTGGCATTCGGCGCGATTCGAGTTCGTGACGCAACGAGGGTGGAAAAAGTGGTGTCGTAACGTTAGAGTGGGGGAACGAATGTATGTTTTTGCGTCTATGGAGGAGGAATTGGTTGGATGGTGCGATAAGATAGCTAAGAGAAGTGGTCGGCTCGTTGGTGGGGTGTTTTAGGTTTGATGAATGTGGAAGGTGGGAATGTTACGAGCTTGTTTTGACCTGATATACGAGCTGCTCGGAAGCCACACCGATCGACTCCGCAAATGGAAAAACTACATACATACGATCGTAGAAAGAACGACGCGACGTTACAAACCTTGTGTTTTAAAATTCACATTAGCATTTTCATGCCACTTTTATATCGCTCCTTGAGAAACTGCCTTAAATTTAAACTTTAAACTTCTCCCTTGTACGCAACCGTGTCCACTCGCGTTTCTCTTCGAACCTCTCCACGTCGTTTAAACTTCCTCCGTAAACCCTCCGTAAAAGTCGCTTTCTTATCGCAGTCGTAATATTTGATCGCCAACTCGTTCACTCGGCTGCGCTGAATATGCAACGAAGCTGCTTCCGCTACTCGCTGTCTCGTTCCAACCATCATCCGTGCTTATCCTTTCTTATTCGCCATATTTAATTTACGCTCTGTTCTTTTCCGTGCACTTTGTACGCATTAAGTATAAGCAGCCAGGTAGTTAACACTTTACCGACCGTTAGCGATTCAACATCATATGCACGTCCGACCGGCATCTCAGGCGCAGGTTCTCTCTAGCGCCGGTTGTGTTTCGGTTTAGACTCTCCGATACCATTCTTTTCGTTCATCGCGAACGGTAAGTTTTTCAAATTGATATAAAACTGTGTGGAGCTTACAATGCAACGCAACCGATACAACCGAGCAAGGTACCTTAGTACTAAATAACAAATTATTGCTCAAATAATGAGAAAGATTGTCGGCGACAAAAAAGCCGATTAATAGGCTATCGGTCGGTAAGCGTCGGCGACAGAAAGCCGATTAATCGTCTATCGGTCGGTAAAGTGTTAATATTACTGTCACGCGGATTTACCAGACAAACACTGGTGGCTCTGCTGTCTTTTCTAAACGGAAGATTCGAGAAACAGAAAAATTGGTGATTCGAAGTAATTTGTCGTATGAAACGAGCAGCTGTCCCGATACTTACGTTCTAATACGAAGCTTAACATTGTAGCCATTATATGGTAATTTGCAACGTAAGATTATCCAAGCCAAAGGACAAAGTTATAGGTAAAGTGTCGTAAGGGAAACATGGTGGAGACGTTACGGATGAGGGTGAAGAATAAATTTACGACGGTTGCGCCGCGTGTTTACGAGGATAGAAGGACGAGCCAGTGTGCCGGTCTCGCCAGTTGCACGTGTGACAAAAGAGGAAAGATATGTCATCGCGGTGTCTTGCGAACGACTTGTCACGGTGACATTCACGGTTAGTTGTGGAATAGGTCGTGTAAATAAGAGGGCGTGTCTGTGCAAAGGATATTATACACAGGGTGTCTCGTTTTCATTCATCCACGCGATTATATTGGAGAGGTTGAAATGAGAGTTAAACGAGATACCGATATACCGACGTAAGTAACAAATAGATGAGAAATATTTTTTTTTTCCGCAAGAAGGTAAATTCCACGCTCGATGTCTAATTAACTGTATATTTTACTTTGAATCAGTTTGTTCCAAAAGTTTCTTTCGTTTTATAGGAAAATGATAGACACGCTACATTTTTTGTTTTAATGCAAACGAAACGTATGCTGAAGTGACTGAAGATACAAAATATTCGACAGATTAACCCTTTGCACTCCTATGTCGAGTGTGAAACTGATAGTTTTTATCTGAGGAGCTCCTTTGTCCAGTCCCACTCGACATTCTTTCATGTCCACCTTTTTTTTTATAGAAGAAAAGCAGGATTGCATCATAGAAATTGTTTCAAGATATATCATACACTTAAAGATTCCAAGATACAACAATAGTGCGAACAAAACTGGTATTTAAGTGAATTTCTGTCTTCCTTTGTTTATTTAAATTGTCTTATTTTCTAGTTAAAGTAAATTTCAAATAAAACACTCAAAAGCGTTGCGAGCTGCTGGTAACGAAATTGAAATAAAATTCGCAGTGCGAAGGGTTAAGTTTCCTATTTGTATGAACATCGCCAGATAAAGCAGCTACCTGCAGATAGCGAAAGATACTTTTGCGACAGCCTAATATTACAAATGTGTAATATATCAAATACAAATGTCCGCAGTGTATCTATCTGCTCAGTCGGTATCGTAAATAACCAAAGAAGAGCAAGTGAAACCAATATACAACTTTATACCAACAAAGCTAAAAACAAGTCTTCTGTCGAAACGAACAGATTTAGCAATCGTCAGAATAATTATTTCTACCTGCTTTATCGGCAATTAAGTGACTGCGGATTTTGCAATACCACCTAATGACAAAATCCTCAATCACTTAGTTGCCAACACAATAGTAACCAGCCGATCACCGATTATCGGATGTTACTATTATTCATTGGTGTTATTCAAACGAACGATGTTTTATTCGTATGTACTCGTTGCTTTCTGTTTTATTCGTACATTTACGCATATAGACAGATAATGTGTACGTGATTTAGTTATTTCAATTGCTCGAATAGGTACGATAGTTACGTTAGACATGCAAAGATAATTAATCGAACGATTATAATTGCATCGTAGGTTTTTCAAAGAATAGAAGCGTTTTTTTAGTTTCAATTGCAGCTGCAACATCGGTGAAAACGTATCGCCCGAAAGTGGCCGCATCTTATTGCCGCATCCGTTACAAGCAGAGAAGGTTATGAATTTAAATCAGTGAGAACTGGGAATGAATGATCTCGGACTTTCGAACGGTAGCGTGTAATTTCAGCTATCTGGGGAACCATCGTACCGTTTATTTCAACACATTTTACTCGAGGAAAGCCTAAATATAGGTTTTTCTCTACGCAGCTTGCCGCGATCTTAATTATCCCAGTGACTCTGCGTGTCTGAGAAACAGCTGAGAATATGTAAAGAGCTTCGAAGCTCGACTATCGCCAATTATCAGCGCGAAGAAAGACTTTAATATACAGGGTGTCTCTAGCAAATGGGACAAGCCATCGCGTTGATACGATAGAAGATGGGGAAAAAATTGAAATAAAATTGAGATAGAGGAAATTAAAATAAAATAAAGAATTGAATTTGTGCGCGATTTTTCCGGAAGTACAGGCGTTTCAAAGGTGTCAAACTCGTCTCTAATTTTCTAGACGAACAGTACGCGTTTCTTTCTTTTACACATCGTTCGATGCACTTTTTCATTAATTTAATTCGCCTAGTCAAATATTGCAAATAATTTTCGTAATCAACGTGTAATCAGTAAAATTATTTTCAAAATTGCATCGATTAGGATGTCGATCAGAGCTGAAATCTCTGGCTGCGGACTTCATTAGTTGACTTTCTCTGTCCGAGATTTTTTGATAAAATGCTCGAAAAGATATATATACGTAACAAGATATCTACGCTGGCCAGATGATTAATTTGGTAATTTGTAATGGAAATTCTTAAACGCGATTACGCTGTCGTGCGTTCGCGTTAAGATCGTGGTATTATTTTTCCTCGACGAGCCTCGATTATTAAACTAACGCGATTATTCTCGTTAAAAGCGTACGTAGGAATTCTTCGAGGAAAACAGAAGCAGAAGATAAAATATAAATCGACTTCGCTTGGCTTCCCCGTGGATAAAAAAAATTTTTAATTTATAACGAACATGTAAATTACTTCTGTTTTAATGGACAATTTCGTAATTAACGCTTGCAACGAATCGTCCTAAATTATATCTACTGGCTATTGTAAATCTGAAAGAATATCGTCGTTAACAATCATAAATTTACCTGCAGATTATTTTCAAAAATATTCCATACTTTCATAATCGTCGAATAATTCGGTTGCTCGAAAGAAGAGAAGCTTAAAAATTACTTACGAAATAAACAATGATATTAAAATGTTCGTTAGAAACGAGTAAATACGATTTTTATGGAAATTTATACTTTCGTATAAAATCGATAGGAATTGGATAGGAAGTGCTATACTTTGGGTATTTTACACGTTTCTTCACGTATCTTCAAGTTTCTCATATAGGCTAGCATTTCCTGAACTGTGAACTTTTCACCTTTCCACATTCCTTACGTTCCTTGCCATCACACGACTACAACGATAAACCTTCACGTAGTGAACCATTAACGCGAATGTCGATTAATCTTGTCGCGTTTTAACGCTAGTTTCATCGAGAAGAAAGCAGCTTTCTCTTTTTGGCAAGCTTGTAAAAGCTTCCTAACATCTATTAACGATATTTCCAGCAATTAAAGCAAATAATTTCCATCTGCAAACAAACCCAGTTCCGTCGTAGCTAATTCAATCTCCTCCTCCGAAAAATCCATCGTCTTACTTGCACATTCACCAACCTTGTACGTACGTACCTCTGGAGCCTGTGTGCACCGTGTGCATCGCCAACAACAGGTTAGTATCGTTCAGCGTGGACAGCGACGAGAACAATGTTAACAAAGCGTCCGCGTAACGCGACACGAACGCTCCTCCTATGAAGGAGGAACGAAGGAACGCTGGCGTTCCACGCGAACCATCGTTCGCCGTTCAGCAACGAGCGGAGGGGATGAAGCCACGCCCACTAGCTGGAACGCTCGAGTGCAGCGCGATAGGCGGCTGACCGCGCGGCCAATCAGCGCGTGCATCGCGGAACGCGGCCGAGCGGTGGGGGCCAGGCAGCGCATCGGGAGTGTGGGTATCGTTCGAGCACAGTGTCCCTGGAGACGCGAAGTTGGCTGCTCGATTTTCCTCTGGCCTTCCGGTTTTCCACCGACCGGTTTCCGGCCGCGTGCGTTCACTCGCGTCGCTTCCGGTTGCTACGAAACATTTTCACCAAGCAAAATCACCGTTTCGTCGATCTCTCGTTGCAAGAAACTACGAAGGAAGAGTATTTTCGCGGAATATCGCACCGAGGACGAGAGAGGCCGTGTTGTGTGGATCTTGAACGGCGGGAAACGAGACGCCGCGGAGACTTCGATGCTGCCGCAGCAACGTTCGCGGAGAAACGCAGACGTTCTCAAGCTTTGCCGAGGATATTTTCCCTGCATTTCGAATATGCAGGTCTTTGTAGAGCTTTGGAGAACGGCGTGAGCCTTGTGCAACATTGTTGCGCTCTTTCTCAGATGTGGAAAAATGGTAGAATCGAAGATTTCGAGAAAATCAGCCGAGTTTGAGTCGGTTGCAGCTGTTGCGATCTTTTGAAGAACTATTGGTGCTGTTTTTATTGGTGAACGGCAGTGATTTCGAGGGGAATTGTATTTTGTGTGGCAAGGAACGTCGATGTTTGTCGGACATTGGTAAACTTCGAACTTTCTTCGAACATTGAAATTTGTGTGAAAGTGGATCGGTATATTTGGAAGAGTATCCTCTGGATTTAAGGATTTTTCCATGGACTGTAGATTCTTGGACAATTGGAAGGGAGAAGAGTTCCGGAAGATTTCAGTGACTCGCAGCGATATTGCTGCGTGCAATTGAAATTGGGACTCTGATCGAGACACAGTATGGCGAAAGGTATGTGCAAAATTATGTGACACGATGGAAAAACGCAGGTTAAGCGGATATTACAAATTTTTAAAAGAGAAGAAACTTTGCAGTTGCAAAGCTACGTTGCTTCCTTTGCGAGATTTTTTCTCGTCCGATAAGTTTCTGCTAATTTCGAGGCGATTTACGACTTTATATTTTATAAGCTATGACATTGTGCCGGCTAAATTGAAATGAATATTTTCTATCGAACAACGTGTCTATCTGAGAATTTCGTCAGAAAATTAATACCTTTATTTCACCGTAGCAGCTAAAGACTGCTTGAACAACGAATTTCAAAATGAAACAAGCTTCTACAGCGAACAGATAGATACATTTCATAGAAATCCCAAAACGTTTGAACATCGAACAGCAAGAAAGAATAGTCGAGTAAACGATGAACAAGGTTCTACAGCGAACAGTTAGATATGCTTCATAGCAATTCCATAAAGCTTGAACATCGAACAGCGAAAAAGAATAATTGAGAAAATAATGAACAAGGTTCTATAGCAAACAGTTAAGTATGCTTCATAGCAATTCCATAAAGTTTGAACATTAAACAGCAAAAAATAATAATCGAATAAGCGATGAACAAGGTTCTACAGCGAACAGTTAGATATGCTTCATAGCAATTCCATAAAGTTTGAACATCGAACAGCAAAAAGGAATAATCGAGTAAGCAATGAGGTTCTACAGCGAACAGTTAGATATGCTTCATAGCAATTCCATAAAGTTTGAACATCGAACAGCAAAAAGGAATAATCGAGTAAGCAATGAACAAGGTTCTACAGCAAACAGATACGTTTCATAGCAATTCCATAAAGTTTGAACATCGAACAGCAAAAAAAGAATAATCGTAAACGATGAACAAGGTTTTGCAGCAAACAGTTAGATATGTTTCATAGCAATTCCTTAAAGTTTGAACATCGAACAGCAAAAAATAATAATCGAGTAAATAATGAACAAGGTTCTATAGCAAACAGTTAGGTATGCTTCGTAGCAATTCCATAAAGTTTGAACATCGAACAGCAAAAAAGAACAATCGAGTAAATGATGAACAAGGTTCTACAGCGAACAATTAGGTACGTTTCATAGCAATTCCATTAAGTTTGAACATCGAACAGCAAGAAAGAACAATTGAGTAAATGATGAACGAGGTTCTACTGCAAACAGTTAGATATGCTTCATAGCAATTCCATAAAGTTTGAACACCGAACAGCAAAAAAGAATAATCGAATAAATGATGAACAAGGTTTTGCAGCAAACAGTTAGATACGTTTTATAGCAATTCCATAAAGTTTGAACATCAAACAGCAAAATGGAATAATCAAATAAATGATGAACAAGGTTCTACAGCGAACAGTTAGATATGCTTCACAGCAATTCCATAAAGTTTGAACACCGAACAGCAAAAAAGAATAAT